TATATCATTTAATTTTATCTTCCACTTTCTCTCATAATGAAAATGTCTTGTTTTCTTTATATAAGTTGAAAACCACAACAGACAATGTATATTTTGTACTTCAAACATCAAGCATAATTTTAAAACTCCAGTGGAGAAGGAAAGTCTAATGTATTTACTCATATTTTTGCTTACTGTGTTGTTTATTCCTTTGCCATACTTCCAGATTCCTTCCTTATTGTTTTCATTTTGTTTCCAGAACTTCCTTTATCCATTCTTTTAGGGTAGGTCTGCTGGTGACAAAATCTTTTATTTTCCTTTGTCTGACAATGTTTTTATTTCTCATTCATTTCTGAAAGACAATTTCATCATATTTAGAATTCAGGTTGACATTTATTTTATTTTAGTAGTTAAAAATATTATGCCACTTCCTTCTGGCCTCCAAGATTTCTGATGAGAAATCTGCTGTCATTCTCTTGTTTTTTCCTTTTAGGTAAGGTGGTGTTTTTCTCTTGCTGCTTTCTTTATATATATATATCTAAGATCTGAATCTTTTGATTCTTTTTAGCCAGGTCCTCATAGTTTTTAGTTGGATTATGATGCATCTTGGCACAGATTTTCTTGGATACTTCTTGTTTAGGTTTAGCTTCTTGAATCTGTAGGCTCATATTTTTTACTAAATTTGGAAAATTTTTAGTCATTATTTCTTTGAATACTTTTTAGGCTCTATTTACTTTCTTCACTCCTTTTGTATCCACAATGACATGAATGTTAGACCCCTTAGGTCCCTGAATCTCTGTTTGCTTTATTTTATTTTTAAGTACTTTTTGTCTTTCTGATTGGGTAATTTCTCTTGTATTGTCTTCAAGTTTATTGAGCCATTCCTTTGTCCTCTTCACTGTGCAACTGAGCCCATCAATTTGCTTTTTCTATTCCAGTTATTTTTCAGTTCTGAAATTCCCATTTGTGTGTGTGTGTGTGTGTGTGTGTGTGTGTGTGTGTGTGTGTGTGTATCTTCTAATTCCTGTACTAGAACTAGAAAGCCCATTTGTAAAGTTACTTTAAGAATAGTATTTAATCTTAGTTGTGCTCTTTGAAACTACACAAAATAAGAATATTAAGTGATAAGTATTATCTCTGTACCAATAGTCATAATCATTTAGGACTATTTTCTGTATAATTTGCATTCAGTATCTTATTATATTCTTACAATGACACTAAGTTTTACTCATTCAACCAGTGTTTACTCAGTACCTATCATTTATGGCACTCTTTTTGTTCACCAGATGTTTCTGCTTTAGCTTCAAATGGTTAAGCAGCCTATTTCCTTGTTTACAGAGGAAAGAACTACATTTCTGCCTTTCTGGTAGGTTGCAAACAGCAGAAAAAGAGAAAGTGTGAGCTGAATTTTCTTTTTTTTTTGAGTTGGAGTCTCACTCTGTTGCCCAGACTGGAGTGCAGTGGCCGCTCCCGGCCACCGCAGCCTCGACCTGCTGGGCTCCGGCGATCCTTCCGCCTCAGCCTTCCGAGGAGCCGGAACTACAGGCATGCGCTACCACGCCCGGCTGATTTTGATTTATTGTAGAGATGAGGTCTCGCTGCCCAGGCGGGTCTCGAACCCGCGGGCTCAGGCAGTCCACTCACCTCAGCCTCCCAAAGGCGTGGGATGACAGGCTGAGCCACCGAGCCCGGCCTGAATTTTCTTACCTTCACATAAACAGTTAAGATTTTGACTCACAGTTTCCATACTATTTTTTCTCTAATTCACAGGTTTGCCAATGCTTTGTTGTGAAACAATAATGTTCTTTGAAAGGACTATAGGTTTTCTGAGACACAAATATTCTTAGCTTTTAGGGTAGGCATCCACCCATAAGAATCCCCTGAGCTGGTTATCTCCATTTATCCCAGTGTGTTTTACTAATATGATAATTGTTAATTTTTGCCACGAAAAAGCTTGGGAAGCACTTCTCTAGTACACAGGCTAAAGAATGGGGTTATTGCATTTTGTGTGTGTTAGATGATACAGCTGAATCCTCCTTTATAAATAAACTTATTAAAAGAATTGTCTCCACTAATTCTCAGACATTTGTGTGCCCATAAGCACCTGGAAGGTTTGTTTAAACATAGATTGCTAGGCTCCACCAACAGAGTTTCTGATTCATTAGGTCTAGGGTGACACCCAAGAATGTATATTTCTTTTCTTTTTTTGTGTTGGAGTCTCATTCTGTCGGCCACCCCAGCATCGACCTGCTGGGTTCCAGCGATCCTTCCGCCTCAGCCTTCCAAGTAGCCAGAACTACGGCCCCATGCTACCATGCCTGGCTAATTTTTTGTTTGTTTATTGTAGAGATGAGGTCTTGCCATGTTGTCCGGTCTGGTCTCGAACCCCGGTGCTCCAACAATCCGCTCACCTCAGCCTCCCAAAGATTACAGGCTGAACCATCGAGCCTGGCCAAGAATGTATATTTCTAACGGTTGCTGATGAAGCTATTTTGGGGATTTAACTTTGAGAATTATTAGTTACACAGTTTTTCTACTTTTTCTTTGGTTCTTCAGTTACTTCAAAATGATTTTAATTTTCTCATTGTATTGAAAATGTTCTTTCGTACATTTTTCTAATATCCATGATTGCCAAATCAAACTTTTCAGTTCTTCATCTTATTTCATACGTAGAAATTATTCAATATAGTTGATTCCCCCCCTCCACCTTTTTTAAGGGAACGCTCTTTCATTTGGTTTGGAAACCTCCCTCTGTCTTCCTCCTACCCTTCATTTTTCCTTTTTCCTCTGCAGTCTCTGTCTCAATATTTTTTTTTCAATCAAACCTAAATGCTAGAATTCAGTTTGAGTTCTTTTCATACCTTATTTTACCTTCTGTCCCTAAATGATCTCACTTACTCCCATCTGTATGCTAATAATTGCCAATTTATGTCTCCAGATCAAAACTTCTTTTTAAGTTTTATTACAGCTTGACTGATTGTTTTTGTATATGTTCATTTGTTTCAAATAATATATCCAAAATCAGTCACCATAATTAATAAACTAAGATGCACATTTTTATTATTTTAGTATCTGAAACTTATGAATCTTATAGTTAATGGCATCTTAGATTCTATGAAATAGAATATTTCTCTTTTACCCTTTCCCTAACAAAAAGTGCTCTTCCTCCAGTCTTCTCTATCTCTTATATTGTCTTTTCTTTTTTATTCGATTGTTAGTGCCAGAAACCTTGAAGTTAATCTTGACTCTACAGTCTTTTTTTAACACTGTTTTTCCTATCTCAAAAACATCTCTCAATTTCCTATTCTCCTACCCTGTCTGCTGCCATCGCCTTTGTTCAAGCCATAATTGACTTTCCCAAGGATTATTGTAAATGCCTTTCACTTCTTGTTGTCGTCCATCCTAGTCTCTATATAGTACTTAGAATCATCATTTAAAAATGTTAATCAGATCATGTCACCAATTTACTTAAAATCCTTCAATGATTGAAATTTATAATATTTAATATTAGCGAAGAAGATCTAAGTTGGTCTGTGTTTCCTTGCCAGTCTTGCTTAACACTATAATCTCTTTCATTCCTTTTGGTTTAGATACCCTAGTGTTACTTCAGTTCTTTTACAGTATCAGGTTGATACTTCTTCAAGCGCTTCTCCCTCCAGTTTTCATCTGCCTGTCTCCTTGTCTATTAGTTTACATCTTTCAGTTTTCATCTTAAACATTATTACTTTAGAGTGTTTGCTGACCTCAAAATCGAAATTAGGTCTTGTTATACACTCTCAGTGTTTTGCACTTTCCTATATGATGATTTGTTATGCTTATCCCTACTCTGTTTCATTGTATTTCCCCTCACAGTAGGGCTTAGCACAATACCTAGCAAGTAGAAGGTATTCTGTAAGTATTTTTAGATACATGAAAGTATAAATAGAATTTTAAAAGATATATATGCACGTATAGACTAAAAAGAGATTTAAGATGAAAATATTTTATATTTTCAAATATAAAGCAAATAAGCACATAAGTTTTGGGAAATGGATATATAGTCTTATTTACCAGTTACATCAACTGTCTGACAAAATTATCTTTTTAATATACTTTTTATAAGGATGATTTCTAAAAATTGTTTCAAAGTAATATTAAGCAATTAATGATATTAAAGGTTATTTTATTTTTATTAACAGATATTGAGTGAATCTATTCTGTCATTTCATATAATATTAATCTTTCATGTAACCAATTTTTTTAACCACCCAAAATTTTTAGGAGATTTTAGCATGATAAAGAATATCATATTGCCTTCTAAAAACAACATTTAATTATTTGGCTTTTAAAAATAGTGGTTATGGGACAACCCCCTTTGGGTCCCCTCCCACTGTGGGAGCTTTTCTGTCTTCTTAATAAATCCTGCTTTCAAAAATATGTGGTTATTGTCAAACCACTGTTTATTATTTTAATGTCCCTTAATATTTGGAGAAAAAACTCATGTCTTTAGACCAGCATGGAAAAAAAAAGTAGCATGAATAACAGACATAGCTGACAGTCTTTTTTTTTTCAGTGTATACATGTTTTTGTTGTTGTTTCTATTTCTGTTTATTAGTCTTTTCTTGCAGGACTTTTGTTCTGTAGGTCTGCCTAGACTGCATAAGCCTTATAGTCTGCATTCTATAAATTTTACTCATTTGGAATACTAGGTTTCTCTTGTTATATATAATGAGTGGTATGGACAAAGTTCTTGAAATCAGACAGGATTACACAGTTTAAAATGTTTATAATGTCTCTGTCTGTCCCTCTTTCGCTGTCTCCTTTACTGCGCTCTTTTGTCTGACTCTCACAGGAGACATGGATTACAACTGGTTGGATCATACGTCTTGGCATAGCAGTGAGGCATCCCCAATGTCTTTGGTGAGACATGTGGAGCCTTACTATTTAATTTCCGTTATCATTTCATTTTTCCTTTTTTATTTACACCTTTGCATGTTTTCTTTTTTGTATCTTTTTTTTTTTTTTTTATCCCACACCTGTAGGGGACAGTCAAAAGGGAAAAAGAAAAACTAGTGAGCAGGCAGTTTTGTCGGACTCTAACACCAGGTCTGAGAGACAAAAGAAAATGATGTACTTTGGTGGCCACTCTTTGGAAGAGGATTTGGAATGGTCTGAACCTCAGATTAAGGATTCTGGGGTAGATACGTGTAGTAGCACAACCCTTAACGAGGAGCATAGCCATAGTGATAAGGTACTGAGATTGTGGAGCCTGCCTTTTAACCTGCTCATTTGGTCTTCGTTTGCTCTCTGTCACTCATTAAAACAGAACATAATAAAAAGGACAGGGCATTTCAAGGGTCAATGTAGCATTTCTTAAGGTGCAGAAAAGAAAAACAAAACAAAACCAACCAACCAAACAAACCAAAAAACTTCTTACTTGCTTTGCTGTTTTTATTCTTTGATGGCATACCAAAAAAATAAGTAAATGAAAATAAAACTTAGGAACAAAGGAATGTTTTGTCCATGGTTGCATGAGAGAACTTTATAATGTTATTATATACCACAAATAATAAACAATTTTTTTGGATTGGCTTATTTGATTGCTTGTATATATTTTCCTTGGGATGAAAATTAAATTATTAATAGTTTGAATCCCAGGCAAAAGGGAGATAATTGGGTCTGTTTGCAAAGAAAAAGTTGTTTTTCTTTTTTCCCTTTCACTGTCATTTTGCTCTTTTGTTTTATTGCCATAGCATTCTAATGTAGTATTAATTAGTATTAGAGCCATTGCCATCTGCTTTGATATTTATTATTTTTGCTTTTAGTGTAGTGGAACTTTTGAAATCTTTTTACCATATAGATGTGACTGAATAGAAACTGTCTTTTTTCTGCTAAATTTTGCATGAAGATATGCATGTTACTTTTAGATAATTGTGAAACTACTATGATTACACAAATCATTTACTTTGCTATTTAGCATATCATTCATAATGGAATGGTGTCTTTACTTATAAAGGCTTTGGTTTTGCCCTGAGAAAGAAATAAACTATAATGTTTTCAAGGTTATTTAACAATGAATATCGTCAAATTATCTAGTAAAGGTAATAAGATCAAAGACCTGAAAGAATCAGGAAAGAACCTCCAATAAGTGAGAAGTGTCATCTATTCTCCCTTTTAAATGAAACCTATTTCCCCCAGGCAGATTTAATTGAAAAGTTATTTGGTCTTGTGTACTTTGTAATTATTTTAACATAAAGCCCTATTCAAAAAATCCTTCATCCTAAGTTCAAATTTCATGTTTTTAATATGATTTGAATTGTTAATTATTTTTATTTTTTGGAGACAGAGGACTCTCTCCCTGTTACCTAGGATGGAGTGCAATGGCATGATTGTAGCTCACTACAGCCTTGAACTCCTGGGCTCAAGTGATCCTTCCACTTTAAACTCCCAAGTAACTAAGACTATAGGCATGTGCCATGATACCCGCTTCACTCAAAACTGGTGGGCTCACGCGATCCTCCTGGGGTTACAGGCATGAGCCACTGGTCCTAGCCTGATCTTTTAACTTTTACTGCAATACATGCCTTCAAAACCTAAGTGTTTGAAGAAGAAATTTTCATTTTTAGATGAGTTCAACTGTATAGAATTTCAATCTATCTTTTCTGCCTGTGAATTTTTAGTTTTCAGCATGTACAAAATTAGAATTTGTATGTATTTTTTAAAATTCTCAGATTTTGTAGAACTATATAACTTCAGTATTGTGTCAGAGAAGTATAAGAATTGTAAGTAATTGGATTTTGAAAAACCTTGAAATTTTAAAATTGAGGTTATAAGCATAATATAGTAAGCTCCTATGATCAGTGTCTTGGAACAAAAACTGGCTTTGTGTAATCATAAACTTTGGAATTCTGAAGTTTAGAGAGATTATAATCAGAGATCATTTTGTAAAATTATAAATAAAGGCATTAATTTTCTTTTGTTTGTTGATGCAATATGTCAGCACCCTGTGACCTGGCAGCCATCTAAAGATGGAGATCGTTTAATTGGTCGCATTTTATTAAATAAGCGTCTAAAAGATGGAAGTGTACCTCGAGATTCAGGAGCAATGCTTGGCTTGAAGGTATGTAATAAAATGTATGATATTCTGACTCTATACTCTTTTATAGATTTACCAGAAAAGCAAAATATATAATGATTCTTTCTACCTATATCAATTTAGTGGGATATTTGTCTATTGTCAAGAATTTGCAAGTATCTGCACTCATTATTTACAACTTTTCATGTTGCCAGTGTTATGTAACAATTTGCCATTATTCCACAATAATACTTATGTATATAATTATGGAAAGACATTAAAAGTAATCTGATTACGATGAATTTGAATCCTATATACAGTGCTCAAACCTATTTTACCCATATACTTTGTTCTTTAAGTTGATACTTATGTTTATATTAAAATTATAGTCTGGAAACTCAAAAATAATTATGTTAGGAAATTAAATGTAAATATTGATTTATGTTTTACTATAAAATGCCAGAAAACTATTTGGTAAATATACACATAGAGCTCTGTTTGGTTTTTGTGCATCTAGTATGACCAATTAAAAACTGAAATGAAAAAAGTAAATGTCTTAGAGTTAAACCATTGCTACAGAAGTTGTCCTGTAGAATGTAGCAAGTAAGAGTTATTAGGAAGCTTTGGGTGTATGTGGAACTGGGCTACTAACATTTATTGGTTGGCAACCATGTGTCTTACTCTCATCTGAGCATTTTACATCTGTCATCTTTTTAACACATCAAATAAATGAGAAATAGGGTTAGAGAGGTGCTGTAACTTGCCCATGGTCACAACGATATGGTGATAATGGTGGGATTCACTTATGTATATATTTATTTAGTTAACTAGTTATATATTTAGAGGGCATGGGTTCAGGTTTCTTACATGCTGTATTGCACAGTGGTAAAGTCTGGGCTTTCAGTGTACTCATCACCCAAATTTTTTGAGTCTCACTCCTACTCAGACTCCCGGCTTTCATAGTCTCCAATATCTTTTATTCCATTCTGTATGTCTATGTGTACCCATTGTTTAGCCCTCACTTATAAGTGAGAACATGCAGGGTTTGGTTTTCTGTTTCTGAGTTATTTTACTTACAATAATGACCTCCAGTTCTATCCATGTTGCTGCAAGACAGGATTTCATTCTGTTTTTTATAACTGAGTAGTATTCCATGGTGTGTATACATACACATTTTCTTTATCCAGTTGTCCACTGATGTACACTTAAAGTGACTCCATATCTTTACTATTGTGAATAGTGCTGTGATAAACATACTAGTGCAGGTGTCTTTTTAATATAATAATTTGTTTTTCTTTGGGTAGATAACCAGAAGTGGAATTGATGTGTTGAATGGTAGTTCTATTTTTAGTTCTTTAAGAACTCTCCATACTGTTTTTCATAGAGTTTGTTCTAATTTACATTCCCAGATGGTGGGATTTAAATCCAGATTTGTCCATTGCAGTTGTACGTACCTGTAGTCCCAGTTACTTAGGAGGCTGAGGGGGGAGGATTGCTTGAGCCCAGGAGTTCAAGTCCAACCCGGGCAACATAGTGAGATCTCTCCAGTATATTGTTAAATAGAATTAGGGAGTCTTGGCTTGAATTCCAATTATAGCAGTTACTAGCTACTTGACGGGCAAATACATTTCTCTTAGCGTCAAATTTTGTATGTGTTCAATGAAGATAACTGAATTGTTATAATGTGATTAAATAAATCAATATACAAACATTTAGTATAGTGCCTGGCATGCAATAATATTTCATAATAATTAGAGTCAGTATAATATGATTAAAGTTTGTTAAACTAAGAAAGTTTAAAAATATTTACATAAGGGTATAAATTCATAAGAGGAATGCATTAATATTTGAAATCAAACGTAGGACTAAGTAGTTAAATTAACTGAATTGTGGCTGAGTGTGATTCACTGTAATAATGGAATAAATGCATAGAATAAGATAATTCTGTGACCTTGACTTCAGATACCTTTTGCTTGGTTTAGGAGGAAAAAACAGTTCATTTTTGTTGATGAAATTAGTAGCTAGTGTTTGCTTCTCTTGCTATAAAGTTGAGATGTTTATTGAGTGGCAGTTTGTCATAATCAAAGCATTAATTTTGTAAGAGATCCACATCTTACAGATATACACGACTCCACAGCATTTTTCCTAACATCTGTTTTCTTTTTTCTTAAAGATATATCTGAATAGAAACATACATATAGAATAATTGAGATGCAGATGGTCTAAAGTTTATATTACTTCTGATAAGATTAAGTACATTTTTATAATTTTCTCCAGAAAGATCCATAAGCACTATGTACATTATCAATGTGCCTAAAAGATTGCTAACAGAAATTTGGTGGTTTACCATAATTATATTAAAAGAAGAAAATATTTTTATTATAATATTTTAAATCTATCACTAAAAAGAATGCTTATATAATTATGCAGTACTAAAAAATATATTTTTGGAAAGAAATATAATTCTGTAATAGGGGAAGAAATTACAAACTGTCAAGTTGTTTGTAAGATATGCAACATTTTCAACAAGTCATGGATTAAATTGCAAAACATTTGGAATATGTAAATAAGAGTTAGCTCTTAGGACACATACTTAGTTTCTAATAGCAACAGTAAATTATTTAAGAAATGATCTTAAGTACATTAAATTACTGTTTTAGGTGCTGCAAATTGTTCTAGATATTTTTTTTACTTGATCTTTAACTATGTTCCTTTTAATAATATGCCTGTTTTAATACTTTCCTCTTTTAAACAGGTTGTAGGAGGAAAGATGACTGAATCAGGTCGGCTCTGTGCATTTATTACTAAAGTAAAAAAAGGAAGTTTAGCTGACACCGTAGGACATCTTAGACCAGGTAGAGTTTTGCCTTTGATTGTTTACTCTTAAATTGTTGCATTTAAGTAGTTACAAAAGAGTTATCCTCATTTATAAGTTATTTGACGAGTAACAAAAAGGTCATTTAACTTAGATATAAATCTTTATTCATTAATGGAAAGTTATAACTATTGGCCGGGTGCAATGGCTTGCGCCTGTAATCCCAGCACTTTGGGAGGACTGCTTGAGCCCAGGAGTTTGAGACCAGCCAAGACAACATAGTGAGACTTTGTCTCTGCTAAAAATAAAAAAAATAATGAGCTGGGCATGGTGATGATCACCTGTATCCCCAGTGAGCTGCAGTGAGCCATGATCATACCAATGCGCTTCAGCCTAGGTGACAGGGTAAGAGTCCAACTCCGAGGAAAACAAAGAAAAAAGTTATAATGATTATTTCTTGAGTTATAGTAGATAAAATAATTTTTATATTTACTGATCTTATTTTTTTACTGATGGATATTCTAATCTGTATCTAATATTAACCTTTCTTATTTTCCATAATCCTTATTTTTTTTCTAAAAACATTCCGACATAGTTTAGAAAACAAACTTTATGGATAAATGCATGATTCTTAATACATGTCACCCCTTATCTCTTTGGTAATGGATACTATTGGAGAGATCCTTGAGTGCCATGGAGAAGATTCATCAGGATACTAAATACTAAGCTTTTCACAAGAGAGTTTAGCAGAAACTCTTGAAAGAAAAGTAGGTGCTCAGTTGCATATATATTGAGAAACCTAATGTACAAAGTCATAAAATCTTTAAAGTGGCTACTGATTTTAATAGTTGTCTAGAATTAGAATTTCTATTTAAAAAAATTACATTGAGACAACTTTTGTGTAATTTTATTTCCTTCTGACCATTGTACTTTTCTGTGAGATATACTGATCATCCTGGTCATCAAATTTTGTGTGTCTGGAGCTATTCTTTTCGTGTTTCTTATTCCATAATGGTCATTTTATTCTGTGGAATTTATTGAAACTTAAGATTGTTTTATTTTAAGTGCATTTTATGGGATTAGGTTTTCTTTCTAATATTGTTATTACTGACACACACTGTAGGTGATGAAGTGTTAGAATGGAATGGAAGGCTATTGCAAGGAGCCACATTTGAGGAAGTATACAACATCATTCTAGACTCCAAACCTGAACCACAAGTAGAGCTTGTTGTCTCAAGGCCTATTGGGTAAGTTGGTTTCAGTTCTTTGCATATGTGTACAGATGACTACTATTGAACAATTTGTAATATGAAATCCAAACATGTCTGGTTGCTTTATGAAAATAAATTATTTTGTAGACAACACCTTCTTCTACTTCTTTATCAAAAACACTTCCCCAAAAATCATGCCAGCTCTTTATCTGATCATGATAGAATATACATTTACAAAATAAGAAATATTTAGGTGTTTAGTCAGTTTTATTATTACAACACCTTAGTAGATGGCTTATAGGCATGAGTAGATAAGCTTCATAAGCTTTGTTTCTCAAGGTAAAAATGACAATCAACTGTAATCTAAAAATTTTACATACATTTTTCAAAATGGAGATTTTAACAAAGGAAAGAAGAAATATAATTTCTAGATAGAGGGAAGAGTTTAAGGAAAAATAGAACATTTTTAAAGAAAGGTGGGTAAACAGACCAAAAATAGGTAAACACTAAAGTACTCTTTGGTTTTGCAATTTATACCTATAATTCATAATATTTATGCATTTAATATAATGCCTATGGATTAAATTGACAGTTTCCAAAAGTTGGAAAAATATAATCTTTTCACCTAAATTATATTGCTAATTAAATATTATGACAGTAATTTCTTTATAAGAAACTTATATTCTATGTCAGTGTAAAAGATAGACTTATTTCCAAGTAAAAGCATCAGAAAAATATATAAACTAACAGTGAATTATGAAGTGCAGATTTCTAGGGTGGAGCCTACAGAAATTCTTTTTTATTAAAAATAACATCCGATTTTCATTCATTTAGGAAACTACTGGGTTGTATTGTTTTTACCTCTTTTTTAAAATACTAGAGAAAATTACCTAGGTTGGTAGCTTAGTTGTATTGAAATCTTTCTTCCAAAGTATTGAATCTGGCACGTGAACTTCTATTCACTTTTTGCTTTATTATTTAATAGTTTTGAAAAATAGTAAAACTGCAGTGTATCAACGTAGAGCATTAATCAAACATACTGTTTTATATTAAAGGATCTTCATCATATTTTTTTAACATTTTAAAAAATTTACAGTCTATGTAATTTTCTGAATGACCTTAGTCATTATTATTTACCCCTCATGTCAAATCTCAAATAAAAATGTACATTTATTTTTGTGGTAAGTTCAGTTGCAAGGTAATTCAGTGAGTTCATATAAGATATATGTTTGCCGTTTTCTCAATGATGTTATATTTTAAGTTTCGATCACAATCTTAATATTTTAATTTTGCTTACAGTTCAGAGTTATTGATTTAGAACAGCAAGTAAACACAAAGGGTAGAATAGAATTAAGATGTATCATAAAACTTATCTTGTTGAATATAAAATTTTTATAATGGATATTTGTATAATAAAGCATATAAAAATAGTCTTTGTTATTATAAGTCTGCTACAAATGTTTATGAATTTTAATTCCTTTTAAATAGTTGGAGTTAACCCAAAATACTTTTATTATTAATAAGTACTAAGGCTTATTGGCTTCTTATTTACATAATGGTACCACAATACACAGTTTTCTTCATTTTATAGTGTCCCATTATACTATAGGTTGATGACAATAAAAATTCCAATTGTATTGTTGAAGCAGTTTCTTACTGTCTTTTTTTTTAAATAATTTCAGAGATATACCTAGAATACCTGATAGCACACATGCACAACTGGAATCCAGTAAGTTTCATTTATTCTAGAAGAAAATGCTATCAATAATGTCATGAATATGAGTTTAAATGAAGTATTTTGTCTATTAATGAGAAATAAGAAGTATGACAACCTTGTTATCAAGTATATAATCATATCAAGTGGAAACTTTACTATATTTCATGTCACTGTAGGAGAAAGCACAAAATTATATAATATCACAAGGTTTTGTGTGTTTGTGTGCTTGTTTTAAGAGTCAGGGTGTTACTCTGTTGCCTAGGCTGGAATGCAGTAGTGCTATGAGAGCTCAATGCAACCTCAAACTCCTAGGCTCAAGAAATTCTCCTACCTGAGACTCTTAAGTACCTAGGACTGCAGGCACATGCTACCATGCCTGGCTAATTTTTTAAAATTTATTTGTTTTTAATTAAATGATGAGGTCTTGTTATATTGCCCAGGCTATTCTTGAACTCCTGACCTCAAGCAATCCTCCTGCCTTGGCCTTCCAAAGTGCTGGGATTATGTGCATGAGTCACTGTGTCTGGCCTAACATTCTCTTTTTACCACATGGTCCTTACTGTGGAATTTTAGATAGTGCTATTACAACATCCTAAAATAAACGGCACATACTTGAAGTGCACAATTAGGTATGTTTTGACATGCATATATACCTATGAAACCATCATCACAATTAAAAATCATGAATATATTCATTATTCCCAAAAGTTTCACCCCCCCCCCCAAATTCCTCCATTTTAAAATTTACAACTTTGTGACCTCATCCTTAGTAAGTGTGGGAAATAATTGTAACAAACTAATGAATGATTATATTTATTCTAAATTATATTTTTGGGAAGTAGGACAGCAGTTCTTATTTAACATCAAAGCAGTAATGAAATAGTAGACATATAAGTTTAAATAATGTCAACTACATGAATACTTTTTATTAATTGTCTTTAGGTGCTATTTCAAGTTTTAAACAAATGAAATTTTTCCAATGAACTAAACTTCTGGGTTGATTGAGAGTAGTGTAAGGGATACTGGGAGAGAAAAGGAGCGCTGCCGTTTGAAATATGTTGATCAGGATAGGCCACATGGAGAAAAAGGATTAGAGCTAAACTTTGAAAGAGTGGCTATGTGGGGGGAAATATTCCCAGGTACAGGAACAGCAAGTGCAGTTAGCTGTGAAGCAGGGGAGCCTAAGGTGCATTGAAGGAAACAAGGTGGCTGGTGTGACTGAATGGAGTGAACAAGGGGGAGAATAGTAGGAATGAGGCTGGAGAAGCAATGGGTTGTCAAATTGCATTGGCTATATAAGCCACTGTACAGACTTTAGCTTTTCCTTTAAGGACAATTGGGAGCTATAGAAGGTGGTTTTGAGGAGATAATTAGTTTTGAAATCTGGCTACTATGCTGAAAATAGATTACATGGAATCAAGGATAAAAACAAAGAGCAGTGAGAGAACTTTTCTAATAATATAGTTGCAAGTTGATGGTAATTCAAACTATGGTGGTAGCAATGAAGGTGATGAGAAGTGGTCAGATTCTCTATGTACTGTAAAAATTGAGCATGTACTATTAAAATAGATGTTTTTACTTTTATATTTACAGCTATATAAGTATACATTTCATTGAAATCTTCACCAGAGAAATGAAGTCTCTTTGGAATGCTATAGCTTTATACTTTAAAATGTCACATGACCTATTTGATTTAATATCTTTTTTGGTACCTTTTATCCAAAATAGTGTCATGAGCACATAAGGCTATAACAAAAAATAATACAATTGTAAAATGATATCGTCATTATCTTCATTGCTCCCATTTTATTTAGTACTTATATTATCACACTTAATTCTTACAACAATCGTATGGGGTAGGTAAAGTTTTTATTCATCTTTATTACATCAGATATTGTGTAGACAGTAAGGGACCTTTTCTTATTTTAGCTTTGAAAATAGCCCCTAGTCTATAATTGCAAGATTGTTCCTGTGAAGACAGGTGTCTTTTCTCAAATAACATCCAATCTTTTATTCTTTAAATGTTGATCTTTTTCCAAGGCTTAGTTCTAAACTTTCTGTTCCTGGTTTCTCAATACATTTTCTTTCTTCTTATGGCTGTGATTGCCAGCTATATGATTCCTAAATTTACATGAGCAAAAGGATCTATCATTGTCCCTTCATCCCTGGATGCCCAAAGAATATGTTCTATTAAGTGTCCAAAGAATACGTTGTATTAAGTACTTCCTGCTTACTATATTAAGCTTTATAGTAAGAAAACATCTTATTTCTTTAAAAAAGGTCATTCTTTCTACTTGCTAAATTATGTAAAAGTTATCACCATTTACTTCTGGACCCAAGGCTTGCAGGTTCTCTGCATTTGACTCTATACTCTCCCTGGGGTGGGTTTTGTCCACGTATATCTCCAATTAGGCACCCAATTCTAATTTCCAGCACTAGTCTCTACTCTGACATTTGGTTCTTTCTGCATTTTCAGCTACCTGCTTTTACATCTTCCCTTGGATGTGTAGAAGTTTTCTAGGGTCAGTGTTTCAAACTAAGTTCTTATCCATTCATTCCCTTTAACACAGAACTTCCATAGTGTTTTAAATCCCAGTGAATATCAGCATCATTCTGTCTGGAGAACACAGCAGATATATAGGGAACTTTTTGACCCTATATCTGGTGTCTAGGCTTGAAATCTTCATGTTTTCTCCCCTCTGTCCTTTATCTCTCACATCTAATTAGTTTCTAAGTCCTCATTTTCTTAATTCATGATGTCACATGAATTCCTTCTTTCCAGTCTATTGTCACAGCCTTTACCATTATTATCTCCTTTAATTCTACCTGCTCTTTTTTTCTAAATTTTAAATTGTGGGTACAATTCAGGGCTAGGTATACAAATATTCACTGTGCAGGTACCCTTATTGATGAGGTGTGGCCCCCCCCTCCCCAGGCAGATATCGACTATGTCAATCCCATATCCCTACCCCCCCACCCCGCTCCCCACAGTTTCCCGCCACTTTCAATCCTTTTTTTATAGTAATAAGGTAGTTGTTCAAGATCCACATATGAGTAAGAACATGTGATACTCAACTCTTTGTTTCTGTGAGAGATCACTCAGTATTATAAACTCTAATTCCATCCAGGTTGCTGCAAAGTTCATGATTTTGTTCTTCTTTATGGCTGCTCTACTTGCTCTTAACTGTTTTTCATCTCTCTCCCTTTCAATCCACAATTTATTTATTTAATTTATTTTTTGAGTCAGGGTCTCACTCTGTTGCCTAGGCTAGAGTGTAGTGGTATGATCATGGCTGCTCACTGTATCCTTGAACTCATGGGCTCAAGCGATTCTCCTGCCTTAATCTCCCAAGTAGCTGGGACTACAGACTTGCACCACCATACCCTGCTAATTTTTTTAACTTTTTGTAGAAATGAGGTTTTATTATGTTGCCTAGACTGGTCTGGAACTCCTAGGCTCAAGCAATTCTCTTACCTCAGCCTCTCAAAGTGCTGGGATTATAAGCATGAGTCATCACGCCCAGACCCAGTCTCAATCAAGTTATCTTCCTCAAATGCAATTTTTATTATCTCACTCATAAAAGCTTAATGTGGATACTTTATTATTTCCAAAATGCATAGTCCAATATCTTAGGGACATAATTCCCCCAGTATATTATTAGACCCATTCCTATTCACTTTTCAAGTTGCCCCTTCCCATTCATAGGAATAAATTCTTATATGTAAATTCTGGGTACTGTGGTTCTGCTTTTTCTACTATTTTGTATTTTTTCACAGCTCTTCACTTCCTTTCTGCCAGTTTATTATATTCTTCTAGATATAGTATAAAAAATCACCTACTGGATACATTTAATAACTTTGGAGATGCTAGTACTTATGTTCTCAGCACTGCAAGTTTAGTCTGTCTTCAAGTTACTTTATTGGTTTATGTTTGGTCATTCCTCTCTGTTTCTAATTTTAAAATTTTCTTAATATGTTATTGTAAGTTATGAGTTTAGTAAACATAACAAAGTAAGTAAGTCCTGAGGTGGAGATTTTTCTCTACTATAATTGGCACCAAAAATGGTTCACTGTTGGTCTTAAGAGAATCCCAGTATTGCACTTATGCTTCCAAAAGAATCCTCTAAGAATATTTGAAACATTGTGACTGAGAAAATAGTCTATATAATGACATTTTGTGAAGATTAGAAAAAAATTAAAACATATATGGTAAAGATTATTAAATACTAGTGTAGAGCCATTGTTATTATTCTTGATGTACAATTATTGTTTCAGGTTCTAGCTCATTCGAATCTCAAAAAATGGATCGTCCTTCTATTTCTGTTACCTCTCCTATGAGTCCTGGAATGCTGAGGGATGTTCCACAGTTCTTATCAGGACAACTTTCAGTATGTAATCACTAAATTAATTTTTATTTTTGGAATGCCAAATAGTGGTTTTAAAATAAGATGCTAGTGTTTTGTAAACCAAGAATATAATTGTACTTTTAATTATCAAATTTCTCATTCTTTATCATTTCAATTAGTTGAAATTCAGTTTTATTTATCATAGTGCTTTATTTAGTGGAGTTAGGTTTTCTAGAATTTAATGAGCTAGAGTTTATGAAGCTATCTAAACTCTTTTTTTCTCTTAGTAATTATTTCAGTATTCAAGGGCAGAATTTTGACTTTATACCTTAAAAGGATTGTAAATTGTTACAGAATCTTAGAGAAATGAAACAGTTATGCTACATAAAGATATTTCAGATAAAAGTATATATTTATATATTCTTCACTGCTTTTCAACTTTAAGAAAATTGGGGTGAATTTAATAATAATCATTGGAGTAGGAATATTGCTGTGAAATATAATGAGACCTGATGTATTTGTCAACAAAATGAAATAAATAAAGAAATACATAATAGATTAGTGAATACATCAGTGACCACATTGTGATCCCTAATTTAAGCATTTTAAATAAAAGTTAAAAATTCAGTTGTACATATTATATGATGTCCATATTCAAAGAGCTTTACCAGTTTTAGTCATCTTTTTTGTTTATTTGTTCGGTTACCATTTCCTTATTAAACTATTTACAAATATTAATATAGTTAAATGTATTCAGTTATATTTCAAAAACACAGAGATTAATATTACCAGTAATGCTGGTAATTACTAAACTTGATGTTTTATGAATATTACAGAGCTATTTAGGTTGTCAAAATCCAGGCACTGAATTTTGGATTAAAAAAATTACAGTTAAAAACTAAAATATTTAGGCTGATATTTTAATACCAAACAAAAATAGCTTTGTTAAATCAGCTATGAAATCTATCCTTTGAATTTTTTTTTGAGGGGGTGAGGGTAGTATTTGATTTTTCTGAAGCAATTTCATTAATTAAAAGGAGTTGCAGGAAGTAAATGACAACGGGGAAATTTTTAAATTAAAAAAAATTATTGATGAAAGTCATTAGCTATATCTTTTTGGAGCTATTTTGACCATAAAGGTGACAATAACAAGATAGTTTTGTGAGAAATATATCTTATTTCTTATCTAGATATTATAGGAAGTTATAAATGTTTCGCTGAAATGAATTTCTTCCCTTTACTATTTTCTTTTCTTTTCTGAATCATAAACAGAGTGAACTTTTCATTTGAGGACAATGGTCTTTTTTCCATTCTCCACAATAAGTAGTGTTTTTCTACTTATTCCTGTAGATGTATTGACAGCACATATATTGTCATTTAATAGTTACAAATGTGTGTGTATTTTCTTCTGCCATCCTAGAAAACACTAATAATTATTAACTGATGCTTTTTTATCATGACTCCATTTCAATAGCTCATCTTTAAATAATGCTCAACATAAATAAATCTGTATGTGTGTGTGTGTGGTTGGCTTCAGTTGGTAGAAAACGGAGTGGAAGTTAAATTTCTATAATTAGTATCACTTTGTTATCCGAAATGAATCCCCTGGTCTTTATACAAATTGTACTAAGAGGAGAAGAAAAAATATAGCTTAGAGATTAAGACAAATTTCAGATTCAAATATTTTTCTTCATGGTTCAAAATTAATATTATAGAAAGGTAATACTTAAAATATTTGGGGGAAATATAAAATTAAGAATTTTACTTCCAAATACTCACACAAAATTTTATATAAATAAAGACCAATAAAAACTTGACTGGTTTGTGTGTATATGATGTAAAGTTACAATTTTTAGATTTATACATGATATTATAATTTCAAATGTGTACCATTTTCTCATTTTCTTATGACATGGAAGGGATATGTCCCACTATGATATTGGTAGTAAAACTTTTAACCACCTGTGTTTTGACATTACACACATGCACACACACACACACACACACACACACACACACACCGTATATAAAGGATAATGATTATAATACAATACATATTTATTGTGGGAAGCCTGGAAAATACAAGAAACTTAACAAAAATAAGATCCCCTATAATCTTAACGCTAAAATCAAACTATTCATATAATTATAAATTTTAAACAAAAATAGAATAAATATGCATATACTAGTTTAGATCGCAATTTTTCACTTAGTAGCATGAACATTTTCTTGTCTTTACAAATTCTTCTTAAAATTGTTTTAATAACTATTTAATGCTTCATTGTAACTTAATTCATTATTATAGGATATCTTGCTTTTTTCTCATTTATATTATTCTAAATAATAATTTCATGGAAATCCTTGAATGTAAATCTTGAATATTTTTCTTAGGACAAAATTATTCTGGCAGGATAACTTTCCAGAAGTATAATTACAATATAAAAGGCAAATTAAAATTTTAGGATTCTTGAAATCTATTTTCAAATTTCTCCTCCAAAAATACTTTTTCAAATTAGATTCCAATCATCTATTTAAGAAATATATGTTAAATTCTAACCCCAAGTAAGGCATGGTGCTAGTGACTGGGAATACAAGTGTACATGATACAGCGATTTTTAAAATCATGTTACTTATTAATTTTATTCTCATTCTTTGCATTCAGGAAAACATAAGTAAAATGCTCACCTAGATATTGTATGTTCCTCTATATTTAATCCTATCTCTATCAGCTTGGAAACAGTTTGGGTTTGCTCTCATGATGTAGAAGTTAGAAAATATGTGGCTACTTATGTTACCCCTTGGGAAGACCCCTGGAAATCACAAGCCAGCATTACAATTACTATTTCCTTCTACCCTTGGACATTTTTGCTTTTCATGAGATTTTACTTGAGCCCATACCTCACTTATAAAATCGTGACATTGCTAATGTCTAAGAAGAAAGATAGTTTGTATAGTATGTGAGCTGACTTTCCTGATACTTTATGTCAGTACATTGACTGTTATTTTCTTATATTTGTTGTATACATTTTTGTGCTCAAAGCTGTTGATTATTTTTTAAATGTGTGCGATTTATTTTCTCTCCATGCTAGAATTGTCCTGCTGCTTATTGTTCTAGGGCATCACTGTGAACGTGACATGAATGTATTTGGTGGGAAGAATTAGAATGAGCTCAGGTTTATGCCACCTAGATTGTATGTCGCCCTTCTCAATGACAGCACTTTCTCATTTTGAGTCCACTTTTCATGTGTTCTTCTAGAATTTAGCTGTTTTTTCCTTAAAAGGATTACTTTTGTAATTCTTAATATTTTTAATTAATTTAGACTTTAGCTAGTTTTTTGATAGAATGTTAAGATAAAATACAGTGTTTAATTTTTTTTAAGTGAGAAAAGACTGAATTATTTATTTCTATAAGAATACATTATGTAGTTGATTCTCTTGATAATCATTTTATTTCACTTCATTGTCTATGGTTGATTTATGATTGTAATATTTTTCCAAATTACTTTTTAAAAAATGTTTTTATATTTTATATAAGTATTGTAGGCCTCAGTAATTTCAGAGTAGGTATATGCCCTTTCTGTCTCCTTATGTACTTCATAGCTTTTTAAAAAAACCTTTTATAAATAGGAGTTTTTTATTTGAGCTTTTATCTTTTACACCTCATTGTTATAACTTTGTAATTCTGGGAGTATTGCATTAAAGGACTGTCCTAAAGACAGTAGTACAGCAAACAGTAGGAAGTGACATTAAAAATGCAAAATAAATTGTGGCATACAAATTCAGATTCTTCGTTTGAATGAAGATTGAATTGTTACAGATATGATAAGATCTTTCCTGCTTAAAATAAATGAATTAATATTAATTACAAATTACAGTGAGGCACATAGTACTTTGCCATTCCTATTTGAAATATTCATAGCGACAGAACCACGGACACAGAAAGCAGCTTAGTGGTTGCCAAAGGACAGTGAGATGGAGGAATGGGGAGTGATTACTTAAAGTACAGTAGGTTCTTCTGGAGTAATGTAAAGGTTTTGAAACTAGAAAGAGATGATTACACAGCATTGTAAACACATTAATTGCCACTGAATTGTACACCTTAAAATTGCCAGTTGAATGTTTTATAAATTGCACCTCAATTTAAAAAAGACTACCAAAACAAACATGTTTTGATAGCCACATTTAAAGTTCAAACTCATGGGAGAAGATTAGGTTTAAGTTGCCTTTGATTTAAAAAGGTTCATTCCAGAAATCTGTGAGTTGCTTGTTTGAGGTCATTTTAGAACATGGAAAAATGTTTGCTTTAAAGGATTAATTTGTTTGAAAATACTATTTCTTTTAAAGTGAATCTTTTATCTTTTGAAGTAATATTTACTTATAAAACTATTCTATTACCTTAATATTTTTGGTTGTAAACAGAGCAGGTAGCAGAATAGAGAAAATAAAATTTATTTCTAGAGTACTTGCTAGTCCCATTCTTCAGCATGCCTCCTTAGTATCTGTAAATTTCATATACCACCCCCCCATTTTCTAAAGAATTATAATATCCTATGGTTATGCAGACAGACATCAGTAGCATACCTAAACATTTCTTTCTTCCTCCAGGAATATGTCCATACAAAATAGAAGTTAGCTTAGATGTGAGACTGTCTTGATTTTTAGAAAGAGAGAGGAATGACTCATGGTTGAATTAAGTCTGCTTTTCTTTTGGGTTTTAGATTTATGTCTTAATAAACAGTGTCTATCCGATGATAGCTGAACGGCAAAAGCCCTAGTACTCATTATATGTTTCCATATAGCCGGAAAAGGCAGAAGCCTTTCACTATGATTTTGAAGTAGACAAGAGAGACATCTATAAGAAATGTGAGGAATGGGATGGAATCTTGGTGAGAGAGACAGAATTAAATACCTTGAAACCCATTAAAGCCCAGAGATATATGCATCTGATTTTGTTTCTGATGATGATGATGATGATTTTTTGAGTTGGTGTCTCACTCTGTCGCCCAGACTGGAGTGCAGTGGCACGCTCCCGGCCACCGCAGCCTCTACCTGCTGGGCCCTGGGGATCCTTCCACCTCAGCCTTTCAAGTATCCGGAACTACGGGCGCGCGCTACCACGCCCTGCTAATTTTTTATTTATTGTAGAGACGAAGTCTCGCCAAGTCTCGCCTAGTTGCCCGGGCGGGTCTGGAACCCTCAGGCTCAGGCAATCCACTAGCCTCAGCCTCCCAAAGTGCTGGGATTAGAGGTTAAGCCACTGAGCCCGGCCTTGTTCCTGATTTAACTGTTGGAATAACTGAGTAAAGGCACAATATTATGATTAGTATAGTCTTCTGGAAACTATTTCAAAGTGAAAGGGGAAAAAAAATCAGAAAAGAAATTTGCTTTTATTCTGAGAATTTGAGAGTGCCTTTCACTATCTTTCTTTTTGAGTATGGGCAAGTATGTTTAGTCCTGTTTTGTTTCCTCGTCTACAAATTAGGGATAAAAGTAACTACCTCTCAAGGGTTGTTGGGAATACCATGAGAAAATAAAGTTGCAATAAGCTGTAAATAAAGGTTTGGAAAAATACGGAGAACTGTATAAGTAAAAAGAAATAAGATATTGGGACTAAGAGGTGTGGTCAGCAATAAGCAGTATTAACTTGAGTGGTGCATAATAAATGTTTGAAGATGGTGTTTTAATACTAGATCCTAGTACAGATTCTTCAAGTGTGAGTCAACTAATCCAGTGATTTCAGCACATTGTTTATCTTCATGTGTTTATTCTTTAAAGAAATTCTAAAGCTAACTCGGCTAATGTTCTTTAGACTCTGATTTGACATGTTTTGGAGAAGTCACACAATTACTTTTACAGATGGCTTTTCACTAATAACTCTATAATACATTTTTCTTTTTTTGGACTATGCTTTTTTTCCTATTGTAGTTTGTTTAAGGATAAAATCTGAAAGTTCTTGATTCTTGGGTTATGCTTACAATCATTTTCTCAGAATATAAGAACCTGAATGCATTATTTTATAGCCAACCTTAATTACTGTTATGTTGATAACATTTAAAAAATGTATTTAAACAGATTCTAATACTTTGTATTGTTTTTAAATGTATTTTAGCATTGGGCAATATTAGTTTATAAAATACATTGAAGTACTTATTTTAGATAATATTGTCATGAAAAAATTGTATTTAAGGGATAGATGTATGTGTTTGTTTTTACTTTTGGTCTTTTAGTTCCAGCGTGTTGTCCTTTTTGGTTTTGTTTTATTGCTTTTTTCTTTAATTTTGCTTACCAGAGCCAAAGCCTTAGTAGAAGAACAACGCCTTTTGTTCCTAGGGTTCAGGTAAAGGCCTTGTCTGCCTGATAGAAACTAAAGTTGTGTTTTAACCCCTTATTTATATGTTTTTGGAAAATGCGTAGTAGGAAACCTTTTTTTGGTATGTTGCTCCAAACCATACTGTTGACTTTCAGATCATTTTATGAACCAGCTTGTAAAACTCTGCATGGGGATTAGAATACTGAATACAAATTTAAAGAGACAATCTTTGTTAGTGATTTTATATGATGAACTGAGTACTAAAACTTATAGGTTTCAAAGTGGCATTTAATGTAGATTTAATGTAGAGTCTACTTATATTTGCAACAGTTACAGAAATAGTTAATTTTATACTATTGATATTTTTCTTTTTTCGCTGTTTGCTGTCTCTTTAAATCATTCATTACATCATGTAACATCAACATTCTCTTGCATTTTCCAAGCAATAACTCCTTGAGGAGATTGGCAAATAAATTTGTACCTTATTTAAAATATGAACTTTATGCATATTGTATTAAAGGTTCAATTTTTGGAAAGTATTTTACTTTGAAAGAACAAAATTACAATCCAAATACAATGTGTTGTGTTTATTTTGCTTATATTTTTTATTGCAATTTTATTTAATTTTACTATAATACCTGGGTACAAGTTGTTTGCCTCTTTTCATTAGAAAACCCTTATATGGTAATGTCAATATAGTTTTTTTTTTAGTATTATGCTTTCCTTGCTTTGCTGCATGTATTTTAAAAATTTGTTGGTTTTGAGTAATATTTGTTTTGTTTAAAGTTTAAAAGTTTAATTACTCTAGTTAATATTATATAATATAAAATATTTAACTACACTGCTTAGGTTGTACTTAAGAAAATTAAACAGGATTACATGGTAAAGCTGGAATGTTATTTACATTAAAACAATTAGAATGATACCAATATTTTTATTAATAAAATTGAAGCAGAACAAGAACTATGACAGGACTAGAATTGTAAATATATGTTTGTTATATTTTGGGGGAATGAATAGCTTTATTTTAACCATTTATTTAAAAAGCATAGATAAGAAGTTTAGGAATGTGACAAAGAAATCTAGCTAAGAAAGTATTCTGTTTTGATGACATGAACTGGATATCTATTAAAAACTTCAATGCAAGTCCTATAATATAAATAAAAATTAGGGCTGTTAAATAATCACCCAGCTTAAGGCAGGTTATTAAAAATTGTCATTTTGATCAAATAATCAAATAAAAATGTGCCCATGTCCTATCTAAATTATTTTAATATTTGTATATGTTTACATTATAATTTAATAACTATAAAATATTATAGCAAAAATGTGAAAGCCATATGTTTACTACCTTTATGAGAAATGGATAATATTAGTAAGTGGCTTTTTTTGGTTTTCCATGACTTAAGGAAACCTGAAAAAAATACTCTTTATCAGGCTTTTGAAATAGATCTCAGATTGTTAGTTTTAATTATTTTAAAGGTGCAAAAATATTGCCTGTGGAGATAGCAACAAGTGCTTAGTTCAACCCTTCAAAAAAATTCTCACAGAGCTCAATAACTTGCTCCAATAATTGTAACCTTAATCTTATAAATAAGTATTATTGTTTCTTTGTTTCCTAAATGTAAAATTTATTGGAAAAAATTTTTCAGCCTTGCAGAATCTTTTTTGCTTTGAGGTGCCTAATATTCATATTACAATCCTCAGATAAAGTTTTTTGCTGTATTGGAAAGAATAAAGTAATAGACTATTTTACTACTGACACAAAAAGAGAGAATGCCGTAGAATTTAATCTGGTTTGGGGCACACATTTTAGAGAAACCATAATGCTATCTATAACATCTCTTTCATCTCGTATGCAATTACACACTCCTGCATTCCTTTCTTTTTTGTTTTCCCCTCATATCTTTTTTTGCCAGAAGAAAGTTTAGTCTTTTTTCCCCCTTTACCTATTTCTATGTTTTTAGGCAACCAAATATTTGAACTTTTTTTCCTTTCGAATATTAGAGACGTTTTTCTTCAGGTTGTTGATTTCCTAATCTGAGGCAGTGGTTCTCAAATTTTAATACACATGAGGGTCACCCCAAATACTTGTTAAAATTCCAATTCCAGGACTCCATTCTGATTCATTAGGTGAGAGATGGACCCCAGGAATTTGTAACTTTTTAATAAATAGGGGAGTTAATACTGAAACAGGATGCTTGCTAACTAAAGTTTGAAAATTACCTGTCTAAGGTATATTTTTGTACTTAGCCAACTGTATTAGAAAGCCTTTTTTGCTTTTCAGTGGCAAGATAGTACCTGCATTAAATGGAAACACAATATCAAAATTAGTAATTATAATTGTTAATGTGTGTTTTTTTTTTTACTCTTATTCCTATAAGAAGGCTAATTCCATCTGGCAAATGAAAAGGATAGAAATAATTTTATATACTCTCTTGAACTGTCAGTTCACCTCTTCTGACTCAGTTGCTTAGTCTCTCATTCTCTCGAATATGAACTGAGGGACTCAACAAAGACATGTTGGAATTGGAACTGAACTGCCAGTATTTTATATATAACCAGAATTGATTTTTACTTCATATTCTCAAGTTCCAAATTTCTGGTTCCATTTCAGTTTCAAGATAGTGGCTGATTTCTGAGATAGAGAGTTTTAAGATAGAGGCTAATTGCTGAGCCAAGGTGTGGATCAGGGCCATAGTTATCATAGAACCTGACATAGTAGTATCAGCTAGCTAGGTATGAAGGTGTGAGGTATGTGTGGGAAGTGATAACTATTAAGTCAAATTAATTCAGCAGCTAGATGTGAAGTTCCAATCCCCAATTATGATACAGGGAAATTATCATATTTTCTTACCTCTAATAATAAAATGTACTCTTGTTATTCTAAGGATGTGATGCATTTGCTTCACAAAAGAAAAAGAGTGCATGTCTGAGCAAGATAAAATTTCAAAGATGAACTTATTATAGCATTAGTTCAAATTGAAGGAATCTATTGACTAAAGCTACTAGTAAGTCCCCATGGCTTATAATCTTTGAACTGTAGTTCACTATGGAATAATATGACATATTTACTTGAAGATTCCTTTTGAGTATCATATAAACAAGTTTTTAACTACTTAGTTCATGCTGAGGGCTTATTCTGAACTCAGTATTGTAGGGGAACCAAAATGAACCAGTGATTATTGTATAAGAAAAGATACAGAGCATTTATTGTATATAAAGTTCTTAATTATGACAATGTAATTCTTAGATGTATATTAATAAACAATCACATTAAGATAATAAAAGCCCAAGTGATTTATGAATGAAACTGAAATATCCGAATTATTATTTTATTCATTGAAGTTATTATAGTATATCCTTTTATTTTAACTAGCCACAATTTAAGTAAAATTTATAATCTGTGCCAATATTAGTATAAGAGAATGGGGTGGAGATTGGAAATGTATATATTATGTTAGAGCAGTAAAATGTTTGAGCTGATAAATGAATATTTTTGCTTTTCAGATAAAACTATGGTTTGACAAAGTTGGTCACCAATTAATAGTTACTATTTTGGGAGCAAAGGATCTTCCTTCCAGGGAAGATGGGAGGCCAAGGAATCCCTATGTTAAAATTTACTTTCTTCCAGACAGAAGGTAGGGTTATAAAACAAAAAATAAATGTTCTTGAAATGTTAATAGTAATGGGTATTTCATTTCTGTATTATCTATTTTTCTGTATCATACCAGTCAGATACTTGTGAAGTTTAACATAAACATAATGATCCTTAAAAATCAAAATAGTGACTATAAATATTTAAGATTGCTTTGAAACATGTTAAATACTTATTGTATATATTTTATTGAATGTTAAATTTGGGTATGTGTGGATTATTTATTAAATAATATGTTTTCGTTTATCAAAAATATTAAAAATTATACTCCTTAAAAATCAGATTTTTAATACAAACTATAGAGTCAAAAAGCTGGAACTGGTATTCTAAAAAGTACTCATCATGTTTGTTTGCAATGTTATACCTCTTCTTACCAAGATATAATTTTTCTCTATTCTATAAAATTAGTGAATTACATTTTATAATTTATTACTCCATATAATCAAGAAAATTTTGCCATGGGGCCTGGAATCAGTTTCTTCAAGCATGTGTGTTTTGTGTCTATTCTTATCAGTATAAATGTTACTGTTCTACCCTGGTTTATTGGAGAAATTAGGACAGGAGAAATCTCTTCTCAAAAATAATCTAGTCACTCATGAAAGAGACCATGCAATAGGCATCATGGAAAAAAAAAAAAAGGAAATCATGGTACCAACTACCCTTTCCCCAATTTTCTGCATCCCTTGTTCCCAAGTAGAGTGCTCTCAAGGTCTGGTCATTTTTTTCTCAGGTTGGAAGTGACTGGACACAGATACAATCTTAAACATGTTTATACGCTTTTGAACCACGGCTTACTTAGTTCAAGCAGTAAGTCACCAAAGTTGAGTTGGGTGCCAAAGTATCATCTGAACAACCTTAGCAAGGAAAAAAACAAAAGAAAGGAAGTAGACAATTCACAAAGGTCTTACATTTTGACACATATTTTGAAGTGAAAATTGTGTAACAAATTCCTCAGAATATGTCAAGATGACGCATCATCTAAAGTTATTAGAAACTGGGCTGAACGCAGTGACTCATGCCTGTAATCCCAGCACTTTGGGAGGTGGAGGCAAGAGGATTGCCTAAACTCAGGTGTTCAAGATCAACCTGGGCAAGTTGGCAAGACCTCATCTCTACAATATATCAAAAAATTAGCTGGGCAGTGGTGGCACATGCCTGTAGTTCCAGCTGCTTGGAAAGCTAATGCAGAAGGATCCACAGAGCCCAGCGGGAGGAGTAGTAGCAATGAGCATACCACTGCACTCCATCCTGGGCTACAGAGTGAGACTCTGAATCAAAAATAAAATAAAACAAAAGTTATTAGAAACTGTTTGCAATCCAGTTTTATAGTACAAAGTTTGCTTGAAGAATGTTGTTTTTTAAAAGACATGTTAAACCATAAGAGAGGAAGAAGACATAATCAGCTGTGCTTTTATATACATTACATGACTTAAGTTTCTACTTATTCACACCTTTGAAGAGAAGCACATGTTTTCTAAAATGATTCCGTTATTTTAAATTACTGAATTCTTTTCTTGTTTTGGACTTGTTTTGTTTAGTTTTATTTTTTTACATAACCCCTCTTTCTGGATTCCGAGCAGATAGAATTAAAATGGAAGCTCTCCTGAACCAATCCTTTATATGCCAGAGTGTTGTTCTTTTTTAATCTTTTGTCAACACCAAAGAATGTGAAATATTTGAATATTTTATTCTCAGATTATTTCTCAACTGAGTTCCAGGGTTTTCTCTCTAACAGTGAAAAGAATTCTCTGCTTAACTCAGGTTACACTATCATCTTAACAATTTCTTTGTTTGCTGTTGGCATACTTTTTTACACATTAATAAGGGACTATTTTTGCTTTAGCTATGAGTATTTAATTTTTCTTGACAGGTTTTCTGAAATACTTGAACAGATAAGCATAGAAAACACTTGACACCTTTCTACTAATAAGACTTCCTGGAGGGACAAGTGAGACTATATAGAAGAGATCTAGTTTGGAGTGTTGGTTAGGCCATTTGAAAAGTTATTTTCTATATAATGTATTGTGTGCTCTAAAAAATGGACTTCTTATATACTCCTTTTTGTATCTTTTTATATTTGAAATAAAGTTGATTTCCACTTAAAATATTTGTCTTTTTTTTTAACTTTTGAGTAAAAACATCAAATCTTTGCATGCTGTTACTAAGTTAAATTAAATGGAAACAAAAGTACCAGTAACATGAAAATAAGGAGAAAAAAGTTTTAAGTTGAATTTTACTTTTTGAAAAAGTTAGCACTCCTCAGCAATTTAATGATGCTTTTAAAGATCAGTTATTTATTTCATTATTATTAGGCTGCTATTTAAAAAAATATCTCTATCACATGCTTATTGATCTGAGTTTTTTAATATTTATATATTTTTGTATTAAATTTTTTTTTATTACAGAGATGTAGGGTACAAATAAGGATTAACTACACAAATAGGCTGCATGCAGGTGAAGTTTGGATCTCAAACTGTCCCTTACTCCCCCTGGTATAGGATCAGATACCTTTTGTGTTGGTACATGCTTTTCCCCATCCACAGCAGTGTCAGCAACTGCTGATCCCTCCCTTGTGCTGTTGTGATTAGTGTTCATGTCCCACTTATGAGTGAGAACATGCAGTATTTAGTTCTTTATCTTTGTGGTAGATCACTAAGTCTGATGGTCTCCAACTTGCTTCAAGGTTCATGATTTTGTTCTTCTTTATGGCGGCATAATACTCCATCTTATATATATTCCACATTTTCTTTATCCAGTCTACTTTCGATAGACAGTATGGTTGGTTTCATGTTTTTGCTATTGTGAATAGTGCAGTGATAAACATGCGTGTGAAGGTGTATTTTTTTGTAGAAAAATTAATGTTTCTCTGGATATATTCCCAGGAGAGGGATTGCTAGATTGTATGGAAGATCAATTTTTAGTTCTTTTAGGAATTGCCGCACAGTTTTCCATCGAGGCTGAACTAGCTTGCACTCCCACCAACAGTGTAGAAGTGTTCCCTTTCTTTACACTCGTGCCAGCATCTGTTGTTTTTTGATTTATTATTAATGATCATCCTTACTGGAGTTAGGTAGCATCTCATTATAGTTTTGATTCACATTTTTCTGATGATTAGTGAACCTGAGCATTTTATCATGTTATCTATTGGTTGCTTGTATGTCTTCTTTTGAAAAGTGTTTATTCATGTCCCCTGTCCACTTTTTAATGTGATTTTTTTCGTTTCACTTTGTTTGTGTTCTTTGTAGATCCTGGATATTAGGCCTTTGGTACATAATTTGCAAATATTTTTCTTCCATTCTGTGGGTTGTCTCTCCACTTCCTTGATGGTTTATTTTGCTGTGCAAAAATGTTTCAGTTTGATGAGGTCTACATGTCTATCTTAGCTTTTAGGTACTTGTTGAAGAACTTGTTGCATACTCCGATGTGCATAAGACGTTTCCTATGTTTTCTAGGATTCTTACAGTTTGAGATTTTACATCTAGGTCTTTGATGCATTTAGAGTTTGTTTTTGTATTTGTTGTTAGGTAGGGGTCCAGTTTCATTCATCAACGGGTGGTCAGTCAGCTTTCCCAGCACAATTTGCTAAATATGGTCTCCTTTCCCCAGTGGTTGTTTTGATGGCTTTGTTGGAGATGAACTGTTGAGAGACTGAGTTTTTGCTTCTGAAATCTCTGTCCTGTTCCATTGGTGTATGTGACTATTCTTGTTCCAATATCAAGCTGTTTTGGTCACTGTAGCCTTGTAGTAAAGCTTAAAGTCTGGAAGTGTGATACTTCCTGCTCTGTTTCTTTTGCTGAGGATTATTTAGGCTATTCATGCTCTTTTCTGTTTCCATACGAATTTCTGTATTGTCATTTCCAGGTCTGAGAAAAATGATATTGGTAATTTGATGGATATTGCATTGAATCTGTAGATTGCCTTGGGTAGGATGGACATCTTGACTATACTGATTCTTTAGATCAATGAGCATGGAATGTTTTTCCATTTGTGTCATCCTTGATTTCTTTGAGCAGCATTTTGCAGTTCTCATTGTAAAGATCTTTTGCTTCTTTGATTAGGTGGACGCCAAGTATTTCATTTTTTGTGGCTATTGTTGAATGGAATTATGCATTTTATTTGGTTTCCTGCCTGCTTGTTGCTGATGTGTTGAAATGCAGTTGTCTTTTGCACATTGATTTTGTACCCCAAGACTTTACCAAAGTTGAGGACGTTTTTGACAGAATTCTTAGAATTTTCAAAATATAGAATCATACTGTCCACAAAGAGGGATAGCTTTACTTTCTCTTTTCCTGTTTGGATACCCCTAATTTCCTTTTCTTGCCTGAATGCTCTGGAGGACTTCCAGCACTATGCTGAACAGAAGGGGTGAGAATGGACATCCTTGTTTTGTTCCCATTCTTAGGGAGAATGCTTCTAACTTCTGCCTATTGAGCAAAATGGTGACTGTGCGTTCATCATAGATGGCTCTTACTGTTTTGCAAAATGTTCCTTCTAGACCTAGGTGATCAAGGATTTTTATCAAGAGGGGATACTGGATTTTGTTAAATGTTTTTTCTGCATCTAATGATATAATCATGTGGCTCTTGGTTTTACATCTGTTGATGTGCTGAATTATGTTTACGGTCTTGTGGATGTTCAACCAACCCTGCATCCAAGGAATGAAGCATACCTGGTCATGGTGGATGATCCTTGAGATGTGTTATTGGATCCAAGTTGCTAGAATCTTGTAGGGAATTTCTGCATCTATATTCATCAAGAAGTTTGGCCTGTAACTCTCTTTCCTTGTTGGGTCTTTGCCAGGTTTGAGTATAAGTATGATGTTAGCTTTATAAAATGAGTTGGGGAGAATTCCATCTTTCTCATTTGCCTTAATGCTTTCAATAAGATTGGTGTCAGCTCCTCCTTGTATGTCTTATAGAATTCAGTTGGGAAGCCATCTGGTCCAGGGCTTTTTTTGGTGAGGATATTTTTTGTTACTGAGTC